GGGTTTGTTTTTTGTCCTCGTAAGAAGAAATCAGAAATCTTTCTTTTCCCTTTGCCACCCTTCTGGCTCCCAGCAATGCTCCTCTGGACTCGTGTTTGCCGAAGGACTGATGAATTTGTCATTGCTGCTGTGTCAAGGACAGGCTGATGGAAGGTACTGCAAACACCAAAGGACACATCCCAGGGGAGGGAGCAAGGCCTCAGAGAGTGAAGGAGCTGCTTTAAGGGTAAGGAGGCACTTCTAGATCTGTGTGGGGAGCACCTGGATGGCTGGGAGTCAGGGTGCATGTTTCTGTATGTGCCTCAGCCTGGTGCTCTACACCAGGGCCTCTGGCAAGACCACAGAGACTGGAAGGCTGCTGAACAGTCAATATAGTGTCTGTTCAAGAATGTTGTCACCCTGATTTATTTTAATCCATATTTTAAACAAAACACCTACACAATCTATGGAGAGGACTGGGACCAGGGCTTCAGCATCTTCTGCTTCCCAGTGGCCAAGTGAGTCTGGTGGGGGAGCAGCACCATGTAGCCACCATGGTAAGATGAGAGACTGGGAAGTGAGGTCAGATTTAATCTGCTCAGGATCCCTGTAAGGATTCCAAACCCTCAAGATCTGCCCTGTCCAAGACACTCTGCCTTGGCCATCCAGAGCCAGTGATGATGCTATTAGTGCAGGGAGGGCTCTCAACCCCCAGGAGGGTCAGGAGATCCTGACAAGTGTGAAGACAAGAGGTTTTCCACCTTCTATTTGCTGAATTAGCAGCTCCCAGTAACTGAGAGGGACCAGTCTCATCCTTCCCTAACCTGGTCCCACCTGCCTTTACAGTAGCTTTGCCATTTGTGTGGTCACAAGAAAAAGCCAGTTTGACTTGCCAGGAAAGTGTTTAGTTTATATTTCCTGAGTATGATTTTCCTGCCACTATAGTGAACTAAACCAGCTCACTGTGCTAGCAAACAGGTTTTGGAGCCAGCAGAAGGTGAGAGGAGGAAACGTGGCTGTCAGAGACAGGAGAGAGGATGCAGCTCCCCTTTTCAGCAGCACAAGGGATACAACCAGCTCAACCTGTAAATGTTAATCTACAGCCTACACTACTGTGGCTTCTCTGCAGACAAGCCTTTCTCTCTGGTCATCCCCTCCATACGTGCAGCTTTGCACATCTTCTTACTCCAGGTAATGAGTACTGTTGTGCTCAGTGAACATAATTCATACTGTGTGACCTTGGATTCTCTCCCTTTGCTCTTGCATGACTGAGTGTCCCTTTGTCCTAAAAAAGCCCCTTTGCCCACAGGCTGCAGGGAGCCATTCTGCCCTCAGTTTCCCCAGGACATTGCACACCAAATGTCTTGTGTGAAACATGCCACCATCAGGGATAAGCTAGACTGGAGAGGCAGAGCTGAACCACTGGGATGTTTCTGGGTGCAGGGGTCCCTGTCACTTTCTCACAAGCTCTTATGCTATCAAAGATTGCCTGTGTGCTCACCACTGTGAAACACAGCCCCAGTAGCAGCTGCTTCCACTGCTGCAGCCAAGTTCTTGCAGGACAAAAGGAACAACAAAAGATTCTTCCACCAGCGAACTCCCTTCTTTTCACTTCCCTTCCTTTTTGCTCCAACTTAGAAAGAATGAAGCCAAGGCACTGCCAAAGTAGAGGAAAACAAGGCCAAGCACACACAGATGGTGACTCCACAAATTTAATTTAAAAGCATCCTTTATTATTCAAAATATTAAAATTCAGGCAATAATGCCCAAAGGAACTGCACTGATTAAAGTTCCCTAATGTTTCATGGCCAAATCTTGCTGCTTCCACAAAGGGTCACTGGGACAAGAAGTGAAACCCCTCTAGAGTGCAGAGAAAGGTAGGGCTGTACCTGCTGTAGGTTGCTTAACCACTTCCTTACTGACCCAATCAGCTTCACTTGAATCAAAGCACCAGCTGTTCCTTACCCAATTAATGACTGCCACAGCAAATTAACATGGCGTTACACCAGGCGTGGATGTGGTCCGCAGAGTCCAGAATGCACAGAGCAATATGCTAGTGCAAAAATAATCACAGTAATATCTTTACTGTTAGGTAGCATCCTTCATCTGGAAGGATGGTGAGGTCCCTGAGCGCTATATGGGCTCGTTTCATGCAACGTGCTCTGCAGTGAGGGGGTGGAGGGCAGGGAGGGGGGATATGGTTGCTGTTTCAAGGAAAATTAAAGAGGACCTGGTCAGGGCAGCTCTACTGTGGCAGAGACACCGACTACACACATCCAGTTCCTGGAATTCAAACAAATAATTGTCTGTTTGGTTGTAAATCTGTTGACGTGTGCCTTCTCCCTGCCTTACACACCACAGACTTCTCCAGTCTCTTCACCTGCTGTGTGATGTGACATCTTGATGGTGTCACAGCTTGGCGTGCTGACCATTCTTTCCTCTGGCCACAGAGGACTTAGCAAGCTGGTGGGTGCAGAGCTGGCCATTCAGCTGCAGGGAGCATCCCACAGTGGGAAGCCTCGGACCACAAGGTCAGGCTGCAGATGCAGAGATCCAGGTGAGGTTCCCACAACAAGGTGTTACTCCATGCTCAGCACTGCTGGGCCAAGTGCTGCTTCTCTGAGTCCTTCCTCAGCCAACTCTGTGCTGTGGTTGAGGCTCTTGCCCTGTCCCTCTGCAGTGGGTCTGCATTGTGGGGTCCTGGCGGCAGTGTGGCAGAATAACCAAGCCATGACCTTCTACCATCAAGTTTAAGTCCAGCACCTAAACACTTATGAGTTTTGATTCCATATAGTTCAGGGACATTAATCCCCTGTAAGTTACAGTCCAGACAGATCAATCAGCCTGGAGGGCTTTGGGACACTAGCGTCTAATGCTGAAGCATTACACTTTCCAATTTTCCAACAATTAGGCCGGCATCAGATATTATTGACAAATAAACCATGCAATCAAAGCCCTGAGCCTGCCACACTGCTACCAGGAGGATCCATTTACATCCCAAGCCAGCTGCTGGATGCCTGGAGGGAGGAGACATGGGAGAACCCTGCCTCAAGCACCAGCAGCCCCTGGTTGCCTTCAGTGCTGTTACAGGAGTCCTCCCTTTGTAATTATAGGATTCCCTTATTATAATTACTGTTATTTATATAATCGTGGTGAGTGTTTTCAGTGCTGTCAGCAGTCTGGAAAGTGCCCAGCCCCACTGGAGCCAAGCATTTCAGGCATTTCACTGCTAAGAGTCTGGGCTTAAAGTATGACAGCCAAGAGCATGGCTGGGTCGGTCCAAGAATGGCAGCCTCTTGTCCTGGTGACATGGAAGCTTTATTTGGGAGATTTCTATGCCCTGGGATTGTAGAGGGAGAACATCAGGTTATCTCTTCTTCCTTCTCTTAGACCACTGCTCTGGGGGCTTAGATCATGCCAGCATCACACCCTGCAAAGGCTGACATTCCCTGTAACCTCTGCTGGGTCACTGGCTGCAGCAGACACTCCTGGCACTGGTTCATGAGGCACCACCTCGTCACATGTCCCTGGGAGGAATCCAGTAATGGGCACGTTCTCTTCATCCTCTGTTTTCTCTCTGATCATCTTGTCTGAAAATCTGGAGGAGATGGAATGTTTAGAGAAAATGAGAGAAGGGACTGGTACTCAAGAGATACTGGTTTTGTACCTGCTTGAAGCTTCACTTTTGTTCCTATGTCAAACACAGGAATGAAAACAATGGATTTGAGCTGCATATGGGAAGCAAGTGCTGATGTTTGTGGCTGGCTTCTTTGCATTTAAATAGGAAGAAATTCGGAGTATCTCACTTAAAATGCAGAACCAAATATAGAAATGTAGCGAGGAAAAGAACCTGAGTGTTTTAGTAGATGACAAACTGGCTAGAAATCAGTGTTGTGTTTGCTATAGAGAAGTAAAAACTTACTAGGGTTTTATTGCTGGTATTAAAACCACAGGAAGCAATTCCTCTCTGCTGCTCCATACGAGGCAGCTTCAGTTTTTGGGCATCGTGAAAAATGTAGAAAATCTGGAAAGAGATGAGACAAATTTAATAAACAAGAGGATTAGAAGCAATGGCTGCCATGTGAGCTGGTCTTGGAGGGCGTGCAACAGAGAAACAGAGGGGATATGGTAAATATTCTCCTGTCTATGTGCAGCTGATAGTCAAGGAATGCTGATCAATAATTCCTTTTTTCTCTTTGCTACTTAATACAGCAAAGAAAACTTGGTCCAATTTTCAGGGAAAATTGATCTAGAAACATTATTAGAAAAAGGGCACCAAAGCACCACGGGCGGCTTTTAATGTACAGGATGGCTTCAAACAAACATCTCTAAAGAATGATGTCAGCCTACTTGATCCATTCCAGTGATGCAGATTTTCCTGCTTCACATCCCCTGTGGACCTTCGGTCTGGTGACTTTTCAGCAGAGATTTTTGGCACTCCGTGCACGGGGCTCAGTTTAGGTTTAGCACCAGCAATCACCTCGAACACCGACAGTGCCGCGAGCACGGAGCAAAGCGTGGGAGCAGCCGAGCCCTCCTGGGGGGCATTTCAGAGCGCCGGGCTGTGACTCACGAGCCAGCCATACCTTCCACCCCAGGGAAAGTCTGGAGATGGAAACTGCCCACACGGCACCTGCAGGACGCGCCTCCTCATCTCCCTCCATCCCTTCCTCGCCCAGAGGAAGCGGCCGTGTCCATCCTACCCTGGCCGGCACCACGCACCGTCACGGCCTCATGTTACTACAAGCCCCGTCGGCCCCCTGTACAGCACACAACGCATGTGCCAGCCGGCTCCCAGCGTGCCCCAGCTCCGGAACCTGCCGGGATTTGTAGTTTTAGCCGGCGCGCCGGGCCTTTGCTAGGGACGGGGCCAGGGACTCCATTTCCCGTGGGCCTGCGGAGCGGCGCATGCGCTGTGCAGGCAGCGGGACGAGGTGGGGGGGCGCGGGGCAGCGCAGGTTCCCGTCTGCGCTGGCTGCGGCCTTGACTGAGCGGGGGGGCGGCCCCGGCCTGGCCCCGCAGGACGATGGACCCGGCCGAGGCCGTCCTGCAGGAGAAGGCGCTCAAATTTATGGTGAGGGGCCGCGGAGGTTGGCGGAGGCGGCGGTGGAGGGTGGGGGCACCTCTGTCTATGGAGGGGCCGCGGGAGGGGGGGCGAGATGGAGCGGAGGCAGTGGGGAAGGGAACCCGAGCCTCGGAGCTGGGTTGGGCCGGGCCGGGCCGGGCCGGAGGGCGCTGGGCTGGCGGGCGGGGGAAGGTGGTGAGCGGGGCCCGGGGAGGGGGCGTCATGCCTGCGGGGAGGGCAGTGAGCAGGGTCCCCAGATCCGGGCAAAGGGAGCACTGGGAGGAGGGGGAGGGGGCTGCAGGTGCCACCTGGGAGCGGGAGAAGTTAAACTGGAGTGAGGCAGGGCCTGGCAGAGGGGCCCACAGGCACCGGCAGGCTTTGCGCATGCAATTCTTGGATTTTTTTCTTTATTTGTTCACCGTAGACAATCCTTCTGTAATTTTATTTTTCCTCCCATCCTACTGCGAGATCTCTAAATACTGACACTTGAGTGTTTCACCTGCTGCAGCAGCAGTATATCAGTGATAGTGACTGCGGGAAGCACGTACATTGTTTAGGTTTTGAGTTGGCCTTTGGTATGGAAAACAGAACATGCATCCAAGATGCTCTTCAAATATGGCTAATTTCCATAGATTTGAGTCATGGTGCACTTAAACTGTAGCTTCATTCTCTTTTTCTTCATTTGTTGGTATTTCTAAGCGTTTTGGCCAGAAATGTAAAATTTAGAAATGAAAACAAGGTGTTGCCAACTAAACTGAATGTAAATTTCAGGTGCCCCAAACTGTTCTTTCCCTAAGGATATAATTTAAATGACTGGCAACACTTGCTAAAAGTTTGTTTTGGATTAGTGCTTCTGGTGGCACAGAATTGAACTTGAGCTCATCAGGAGGAAGGAATTCTGTTAAATCTTTAGAACATATGCCCAAAATGAAATTGAAGAAGCACTAGCTGCAAATTGTAATCTCTAATTGAACTTCGAAATACTTGTTTGGCTTTTGGTTTTTAATCTGGAAGAACTTGTTTCTCTCTTGAGACTTTTTGACCCGTTTGCTAGGAGACTCCAGGTTTGCCAGATTATTTATAGAGTCTCAGCTAGGTGAAGTGAAAAAATGCTATGGACACCTAAATCGGCAAGATAGCAATTAGTAATAATGACTGGCCCTCTTTGGTCTGGGGTTGGCCAAAGGAGTGTCCTAGATCCTGCTACACTTGTGTTTGGCCAAACTTGGTAATTACAACCTGCCTCTAGATAGTGAGTTTCACGTCCCGAAAAGTTTCTGCTGAAACATTCTTGTCTGCTGCCAGACAGGATTGTGAACATGCTATGCTGACTTCTCATACATTATTTCTTTCGCCCCCTGTGCTAAGATTCTCATTCAAGGGCTTAGTCCAGGTGTTTTGAGATCATCTGTAAGACTGGGCCTGGAGGCTGAGAGAATCCCTGTCCATCCTGCAGCTGGCAGTGTCCCACTCGAACAATAGAGCTCCCTGACACAGGGGACAGGCATGACCATGAGAGGAAGCTGCTCTTCTGGGATATGCATCTGTTAAGAGCACCAGATAAAGGGAAGAATCATCAAGACCAGGCTGCACTGAGAGCTAAAAGCTAACCCACGTTCTTTCATGTTTTATTGAAGTGCCTCTTGTATGCAAAATGCTTGTAAAACATGCAGTGAAGGATGTGGCTTCCCTCTGTCCACTCTGAACTTTCTAGAGCTTTTTTGATAACAGGTTGAGAGTAGAGTAAGCAAAGGTTTTGTTAAGCACATCTCGGACTTTTTCTTTAGCTTGCATCAGTCCAGGATGTGGCTCTTACTTTAACTGGGCTAATGGAGTAAAGTGTTTGTCAGACTTGGTGGGGTCTTCTGGAAGGATGGCACAGATAGATACATTGAGATACATGAGGAATCAGTTGCAAGTATCATCTTGGCCCTCCTGGGAAATGTCTTTTCTCTGCCTTGTAGCACTCAGGCAGTGCCCAGGCACTGCAGTAATGGCACTGGTACAGTTATCCACACAGAGGTAGCAGATCAGCTCGTGCATCCTCTCAGCTAATGCTGAATCATTCACAGTGGATTACCTTGTCCATCAGAGTGTGTGATACGCTTCATTTGCATCTTCCTTATTAGCTGGCTCACAGTTTGGCTTGAGGTGGGCTTTGCTATTAATTATTGATTTTCCCTGGGAGCTTCCCAAGTAGCATTGTAGGTAAATATTCAAATACATTTTAGAGGTATGAGGCCTATTATCAAAGGCAGGAGAGACAGTTTTGGTTTTAATATATGTTTGGGGTGGGTTTCACTTCATATTGAAAAGCAACCCTTTAGGTGGCAATTTGTTTATGCTTCTCTTTAAAATAATACGTTTTTACACTTAAAAATGTCACTACTTAATTTTTGACATTTACTTTGAGCAGCTCTCTTGAATCACAGGGTATCATGGAAGATGGACCTGGTGATTTGATTTTCATTTTAATGTCCCAGAAAAGTGTCATGGGAAAGCTTCATCCCGTGCTAATATTATGAATGAAATTATTTTGCTTTAAAGCATCTATATTTGATGCTTTGAAAGACAAACAGTACTCCATTGTTTTTCTGTATGCTCATGTCTGTGCAACTTTATGATGGGAATAGAAGGCAGCTGCCTTCTCACTGGCTGGTGTTGGCTGGATTACTTGCCAATGAAGCAGTGTTGCATTTAACTGGTATCTGCTACCAGTTCCCTGGTTAGGAACAATACCTGGTCAGGTACAATATGTATAAGCTAATACTTTAAGGTTTAGGTAATTTATTTTATTTCATTTGCTTGCTCAGTTTACCTCTGTGTCTTAATAAGACCTAATTTATTCCTGATATTAAATTGCTGAGTATTAACACTACACAATACTAAGCAACTGCTCACAAGGGAAGACTGTTTTTGCTGGTGAATGAGTGTCTTCTATCATGTGTTCTGCACATCATCTTTCAAAAGTTTTGTTGGTGGGATTTTTTGGTTTTTTTAATGAAAGATAGTTTATAGACTTAAAATACAATCTTTTAAATTAAATAGTCCAGTGTTTTGCAGCTGCAGCAAGGATTTTACCAGAGTAGAACCTGTCTTAGTTCACTTCAGACTCTTTTCTTTTTTGTACAGTCCTACTGATGAAAGTACACTCTTTATAAAGTACAGTGTATAGGAAACTGATGCACAAGCTAAAGGGAGAGGTGAACGTGCCCATTAACCTAAAAAAATGCACACAGAAGTCCCACCCAAAAACCCTTGTCATAGAGAGCTCTGCTTATATGCATTCAGGAATATGGTACTTCCATAGTCATAGTCATTTACAAAAGAACAAGAAACTGAGATGCTCAATAAGTAACTTTCAAGTTTGAATAAATGTTTGAAACTGTAGATACAGTATTTAAAGTATGAGTGTGATAGGCTCAACTGAGACTTTGATTAAATGTCATATAAAGTAAACTACATAAGCCTGCATAGAATAGTAGATATTTTTTCAAAGTAGCTTCAAATGGTTCTGTTAAGTATACGAATGTTCTGATGATTATCTTTTTAATTAAAATGAGAAATCTTTGTTTAAAGTGGCATTCTTTTTTACGGCCTGTTACAGTCTCTGTAACAATCATTTCTTAAGTCTGAACGTTTTTAATTCCAGGAATCCATTTATATAAAACTATGTTTAGACTTAATTAAGGAATGATTCTTACAAAGCTTGTAAATAGCCAAGAAAAAAGGGACAGAAAATAAAACTGACATTCACACTTAACAGAATGATTGTTACAAGGTATGTAATATGCTATAAAAATACAATAAAGCCCTTTTTATAAGAGTTCATATTTTTTGTTCCTCATTTTGAAAGGTATTTAAGAAAAATATCAAAGCTCTATGAAGCGACATCTGTTTTCTGGAATGGACTAGTGACAACTTCAGTTGTGTTTAATTAGCAGTGCTTGGAACAGTACCTGACCAGTTTGGGGTCCCATCTAGAGCCATCTGAGAGGCAAAAGCTTGATACTTAAAAGAGTTTCACTTTCTCAGTTTTTATGAATTAATTAATTTGCAATAATTCACTGAATTTCCTGACTCATGAATAGGAGGAAGTCAGTCTGAGTGTTCTTTGTGGTGTTTTTCTGTTTCACCCCCAAAATACCATTTTCATTTTGCTTTTGGATGATGGGATTCTAGGAGCTGTGGGTGGGCCTTCCAGTTTCAACAGAGAACCAGAGCCTTCTGATTGTGTTTTAAGATGCATCTGTGGGTTGTTTTCTGGTAGCTTTGTTTTTGGTTTTTGTTTGTTTGTTTTGTTGGGTTTTTTTTTTTTTTTTTTTTTTTTTTTGGTGGTTGGAGGTTTTTTTGGTTGTTGGTTTTATATTTTTTAATGAGGGAAAACTCTGAAGTTCATAAATTTTTATATTTGCATGTTTGTAGGAGCTGCTGCATAACTGGCAGGTAATATAGTAAAAAATACTCAGTGTAATTGAAGGCTGAAGGGTAATAAAGTCGGAATTTTTTTCCTGCTGTGTGCAGGTATATATATGGAACAGATGGACAAAGGCTTATATTTTCAAAGAGGCACTGCTTGGACTGAACCTATGTCATTCATGGTGTCAATAGGACTAGGATTTTAAAGACCTGTTATTTGTTAGCTATTTAAAAAAAAAACTCTTCTGAGAACCTTGCAGTCTTCCCAATAACATATTTGTATCCTGGACATTGTGACAGAGAGCCTGGGTATCCAAAGCAAGGATGTCATGAAAGCAGTGAGAATAATTTTGTAAGTGGTATAGCAGAGCGTTGCCTCTTAAATGTGGGATTGGAAATCCTGCTTGAGTATTAAACATACACTCACCAGTTTTTCCAATGATACTGAAATAGCATCCTGTTTTTTTAGGTGTTGGCTGGAACTAGTACGTTGTATGGAAAACATTGATTAATTTTCTTCTACCCCAAACTTCATGCTGTAGATTTTTGTGCACTTGATGCAGGCCTTTGGTACTTCAGTAACTTCACCC